ATTAGTGAGCAAAGAAATGAAAATACTGGAATCTTTCTCAAAGTAGCACCCCAAATTGAATGAGGACCTCGGGTTTGATTTGCAGTCGTGCCTAGAAGAGAGCCCCGTACTGCTTCCTTTGTCCTTTTTGGTGGTTAGTTTAGTGTCAGAAATTTGGTGAGCTCAGGAATAAAAAAACTCAGAGCCTCGATACAAGAGCAGTACCACAATTCGAACAGCGATCTCGGGTGAACCATTGCAAGAATTTCAACAGAAGCCCGTGTGCATAATACACCATACTGCTTTGATTGCTCTGGTTAGCACTTAGTGGGGTGCTAGAAAAATTATGTGTGAGCTGACCACGGAATGAAACAAACTTGTTTGAATTGTGATACACCATACTGCTTTCCTTCTCCTGTTCAGATGTTGTTGGGGTGCTAACAAAAAAGAAATAAAGATACTGAATGTGATAATAGAGAAGTACCTCGATTCGAACAAGGACCTCGGGGCTATTCATTGCCAGCTTTGCAAACAGAGCCCTGTGGGCATGATACACCATACTACTTGCCTTAGCTTGTTATAAGGTCTGTGGAGTGGTAGCAAATTGCTGAGGTGAGGAATAATAAAGCATCAGGCAAAGAGAGCAGACCATGGCCAGAGCAGTACCTCGATTTGAACGAGGACCTCGGGGATAATCCTGACTCACTTCCAGCTAAGAGAACCCAGGGTGCACAATACACCATACTGCTTTCCTTCCTCTGTTTTTGACTTGGTATGGTGCTAAAGAATTGGTGAGTAAAGAGATAAAAATGGTTGGAGTATCACAGGAGGCAATCACCACCGCTTATTTTCTATAAGCGAGAGTGGCTTATGAGCGGCTTATCCCATCAGCCGTGATGAATCCTGAGAGTGCAATCTTTTTGAACATGGGCGAAAAAATAGTGATGAGTGTCTATAACAGCCAGGTAATGTTTGCTTTAGTGTTTTGAGAGCTTGTAAAAATGGCTGGGCATATTATATTGTCCACCTATATCAAAATCAATGAAGATTTTTTTTGCATCTCCTATATTGCACTATTGCAACCAAGTATTCAGGTGTGATCAGTGACCATAAGTATTCATTTCCCATCAATTCAACTGTGCTTGAGACCTGTGCCCACTATTTTCAGCATTCATTTGGCAAGTATTCAGCTCAAATTTCGGCTCGAAAGAGCACCAAAATTGGTCAGAGGAACGAATTTCCTGTAGAAACAGAACCGATTGGCCTGCATCTTCCAACAAACTGGCATCAAATGAATCACTGGTGGCCGTAGAAAAAATTCGAATTTCCGGTAAGGGGCTTCGAAAATGCGAATTTCTCAACATACCTTCCATTTTTTTTCAGAGCCTCGAGGTACCCCTCCCCCCCCCCCCCCCCCCCCCCCCCCCCCCCCCCTCACCTACGTGCAGTGTATGTAAGCAACATGTGCCATTATTTTTGGCTCTTTGGACCACAGGATAATGAGGAACCTCCAGAAATTACCTGAACCTATTGAATGGGAAGTAGTTAACTGAAATACACAATTACGGTTGCCATTTCACCCACTTCGACTTGGTTGACTCTTATCTCGAGCACGGCCCCCATGACGATTTGATGGCATCGTTCATCCGGTCCGAGCCACACTCTTCTGAGACTTATGAAAGGGCAGATTTCCAGCAGATACAGTTGGAAAATGTTTCTGCAAGTCTCCTGGGACCTGTTCAGGACTTTCTGACAATTTATTTAAGCCTACTCACGACAATTTATAGCCGAGATTTCCTCCATTTTTTCTTAGTGTTTTTTTGCACATTTTGGGGCAGCACGGGCAGCTTTCAAATTTGGTATAGAATTTTTTTCTCGGAGGCCTGAGGGACCCCGCCCCCTCCTACCCCATAAGGCAATTTCTTATCTTCGAAGCCCCTTGATTTCCGGCCCTGCAACCGAATAAAACAGTCAAGTATTCAGGGCCCTCGGTGACCTGTGACATATCGACAACTGCTGCATGATGCATCGAGGTCAGTAGGACTATTCAGGTTCCTCCACATATCCCTCCACTTTCCCATCCCAAAATCCTCAAAAGCATCGGGGATCTGTTCAGGCAACAACGCAGTTCTAGCGGCCTCAGTTATTTTCCCTTTCTATTTTATTTCTTTCATCATCACTACTTCCACATCTCTCCATACTTTCCTTAACTATGATCTTACACCAGACAGAACCCCATATTCTCATGCCCAATTATCAACACATGGACACCGCCCCCACAACCTGTCTCCTTCAAATGCAGCACAAGAGGTGCAAAAGAGCCTTACATAATAAAATCCACGTAAATATTCTATATGGGCCTGGATACTCTCGAAACCTATCTAAACCTCCCAAGAAATTTTCCCAGTGTTGTGAAACACTCCTTCAATAAATGAATGATTTTTGTTGATTTCCAGAAAGACTGCTCTCCTCAGGATTCAAACCCTTACCGAAAGCAGTCCCATCATGGCTGATGGGATAAGCCGCTCATAAGCGCCTCATGAGCCACTCTCGCTTATAGAAAATAAGCTGTGGCAATTGCCTCCTGTGTATCCAATACAGAGCACTATTTTGAATCGAACGAGGATATGTCTTCACTGAGAAGCGGAATGAGAACCGCATGTGCACAATACACCATCCTGCTTCCTTTATCCTGTTTGCACATGTGGGATGCTAGCAAAATTGGCGAGGAAAGAAATAAAAGATGTTAACGGTGTTTCACTGCTGGCAAAATTATTGAATCAGGGCATGCCTTGAAGAGCAATACCCCGATTCGAACGAGGACCTCGGGGCTAATCCTTGGAACACGGCATACAAGAACCCTGCGTCCACCATACTGCTTTTCCTGTCCCATTTCACCTGTGGTAGTATACTAAAGAATTCTCGAGGGGATCCAAAAAAAGGTTCCTCCTTCAACAGAGCAGTACCTTCAATTGAATAAAGACCAGGGTTGATCGTTGATCATCTGGAGACAGTGCAAGGTAACCTTGTGCGCACGATACACCATACTGCTTTCCTTCCTGTGTTTCTGACTTTTTGGGGTGCTAGAGAATTGCTGAGCTGGAGATTTTGCTAAAAAGAGGCAACAGAGGAAGAGCAAGCACCTCGATTCGAACAAGGACCTCGGGGATAGCTGGTGACAGACACCTATAGGATAACCCCGTGTGCATGATACATCAGACTGCTTCCCTCCCTCTGTTCCGAGCTTGGTGGTGTCTGTCTAAGACTACGAGTAGTGAGCAAAGAAATAAAAAGATTGGTGTTCCCAAGCTAGAGCAGTACTCCGGGGCTAGTAGACCATTGCGAGCATCGCAAACCCTGTGTGCGCAATACACCATACTGCTTTCTTGACCCTTATTCGGAGTTGATCATTTGCTGGAAAAATTGGGCGGGAGCTGAGAAAATAATTTGAACCGCTGACAGAGCAGCACCTCGATTCGAACGAGGATATCGGGATAACTGGCGAGTGAGACTTGGAATCCTAAGAGAACCCCGCCCACAGAATACACCATACTGCTTCAAATGCCCCGTTTTGAGGCTGGTGTGCTGCCCAAACTGGTTGTCGCACCGGCATATTTTCCTGGTGAGCCAAGGGATAAAAAAGAGTGGAGCAGACAAAGCCAGAGAAGCACCTCGATTTGAACAAGAACCTTGGGGATGACTCCATCTAAGGGAACCCCATGTGCACGATACGCCATGCTGCTTTCCCTCGACTGTTTCGAGGGTTGTGGGGTGCTATAAGATTGGTGAGCAAAGAAATGAAAACCTCACCACAGGCTACTGACTCAAAGCAGTACCCCGAATTGAACGAGGACCTCGGTATTAATTTTCGAAGACCGGTAAGAACACCGTGTGCACGATACACCATACTGCTGCTTTACCTTGTTTTGAAGTTCGTGGGGTGCTAGGAAATCGGTGAGCTGGAGATTAAAAAAGAGAGGCAACAGAGGAAGAGCAGCACCTCGAATCAAACGAGGACCTCGGAGTGAATTCTTCCCTCTTCCAAGGCGTAAGAGAACTCCACGTGCACCATACACCATACTGCTTTTCCTGTCCCGTTTCAGCCGTGGTAGTATACTAGACAGTTCTCGAGGGCATCCAAAAAAAAATCCCGATTGTCCTGCAACAGAGCAGTACCTTGATTCGAACGAGGACCTCGAGGCTAACAATTGTGAGCACTCTATAACAGAACCCTGTGTGCACAATACACCATACTACTTTCCCTCTCCTGTTCAAATGTTGTTGGTGTACTAGCAAAATTGTTAAGCTGTGGAATAAAAACCAACGATAATTCACTAGAGCAGCACCTCGATTTGAACGAGGACCTCGGGGATATTTGGTTCAGAGCCTCTCACAGGACAACCTCGCGTGCACGATACACCATACTGCTTCCCCTCCTCTGTTGCCTGCATGGTGGTCTGCAGGAAAATTGGTGAGCTGGGGAATGAAAAAGGATCAGCCAAAGAGATTTGGAGCAGACCAGAGTAGTAACCCGATGCGAACGGGGACCTCGGGGATAAATGTCTGGTGCCAGTTAAGAGAGCCCAGTGTGCACACTACACTCTACTGCTTTTCCTGTCCTGTTTCACCCGTGGTAGTATACTAGACAATTCTCAAGGGCTCAAAGACACAATCCTTCATACACAAAGCAGTACCTCAATTCAAACGAGGACCTCGGGAATAACCATTGCAAGCACTGGAACAGAACCTTGTGTGCACGATACACCATACTGCTTTCATCTCTCTGTTTTGCCCTTGATTTAGTGTTAGAAAATTGTTGAGCTGAGGAATAAAAACCTCAAGAACATCAAATCAGAGCAGTACCCCGAATTGAACGAGGACCTCGGTATTAATTCTCAAAGACCGATAAGAACACCGTGTGCACGATACACCATACTGCTTACTTTACCTTGTTTTGAGGTTGGTGGGGTGCTAGGAAATCAGTGAGCTGGAGATTAAAAAAAAGAGAGGCAACAGAGGAAGAGCAGCACCTCGAATCAAACGAGGACCTCGGAGTGAATTCTTCCCTCTTCCAAGGCTTAAGAGAACCCCACGTGTACCATACACCATGCTGCTTTTCCTGTCCTGTTTTACCCGTGGTGGTATACTAGACAGTTCTCGAGGGCATCCGAAAAAGGATTCCGATTGTCCTGCAACAGAACAGTACCTTGATTCGAACGAGGACCTCGAGGCTAATGATTGTGAGCACTCTATAACAGAACCCTGTGTGCACAATACATCATACCGCTTTCCCTCTCCTGTTCAAATGTTGTTGATGTGCTAGCAAAATCGTTGAGCTGCGGAGTAAAAACCAATGATGATTCACTAGAGCAGCACTTCGATTCGAACGAGGACCTCGGGGTGCAATACTATCTCCATCTAAGAGAACCCCGTGTGCACGATACACCATATCACTTTCTTTGTCCTCTTTTGGGTTTGGTGTGCTCACAGAACTCGTGAGCAAAGAAATAAGAATCATCAGCACTTGCCTAGGGCAGTACCCCGATTCGAACGGGGACCTCGGGGATAAGCATGTGGTTGAAGGTAAGAGACCCTCCGTGTGGACAATACATCATACTGCTTATATTCCCTTGTTCAGAGGTTGGTGAGGTGCTAGCAAAATGGGTGAGCTGAAAAACGAAAAACACATAACACCAAAATGCAAGGGCAGAGCAGCACCTCGAATCGAATGAGGACCTTGGGGTTAAGCTACAATCTGGGACTAAGAGAGCCCCGTGTGCAAAATACGCCATGCTGGTTTCTTTATCCGGATTTATGGTTGGTAAGATGCTAGCAAAATTGGTGAGCTGGGGAATAAAACAAGAGAGGCAACACAGGAAGAGCAGTACCTCGAAGCGAACGAGAACCTTGGGGTTAAGCTACTATCCGTGACTAAGAGAGCCCGTGTGCACGATATAGCATACTGCTTTTCCTATCCCGTTTCACCCGTGGTAGTATGCTAGACAATTCTCCAGGGGTCAAAAACACAATCCTCCATACACAGAGCAGTACCTCGATCGAATGAGGACCTCCGGCTTAATTTTGACTCAATTCCACGTAGGAGAACCCAGTGTGCACGATACACCATACTGCTTCCCTTATCCTATTTTGCACTTGGTTTCGTGCTAGAAAATTGGTGAGCCACGGAATAAAAATCCTAATCGAACCAGAGGAGCACTTCGAATCGAACGAGGTCCTCGGGGATAACTTTGGATCGACTCGCTCTAAGAGAAAACCCCATTTGCACGATACACCATCCCGCTTTTCTTCTTCTGTTTAGTCCTTGGCCTGGTCTGAGAAAATTGGTGAGCCAAGGAATAAAAATGTACTCACCGCAATCGCAGAGCAGCATCTCATTTCGAACGAGGGCCTTATCTCGGACTTTCGTCATAAAGCCCCGGTGCATGATACACCATACTGCTTTCTTTACCTTGTTTTGATGAGGCTGGGGTGCGACAAATTGGTAAAACCCCCCCCCGCCAAAAAAAAAGAAAGTTGACATGTACAGGCTCATAGCAGCATCTCGAATTGAACGAGGACCTCGGGGCTAACCACTGCGAGAACTGCTCAGAGAACCCCCGTGTGTCAATGCACGACACACCATACTGCTTTACTTACCCTGTTCTCGGCTCTGCAATGCAACAGAGCAGCACCTCAATTCAAACAAGGACCTGGTGGGTTGACTGCTCTAATGGAACCCCATATGCACGATAAACCATACTGCTTTTCCAATTCTCGAGGGGTCAAAAATGCAATCTTTCATACACAGCGCAGTACCTCGATTCGAACGAGGACATCAGGGCCAACCATTGCGCAATGCGGAACAGAACCTTGTGTGCACCATACACCATGCTGCTTTCCTTCTTCTGTTTAGCCCTTGGTTTAGTCTTGGAAAATTGATGAGCCAAGGAATAAAATATGTACTCAATGCCATCACAGAGCAGCACCTCGATTCGAACGAGGACCACGGGGTTAAGTATCACAGTCGCTACCCAACAGAACCCTGTGTGCACGATACACCATACTGCTTCCTTTATCCGATTTTGCACTGGGTTTTGTGCTAGAAAATTGGTGAGCCCCGGACTAAAAATCTTGAGAACATCGAACTAGAGCAGCACTTCGAATCAAACGAGGACCTCAGGGCTAACCATTGCCAACTGTGCGAACAGAACCCTGTGTGCGCAATACACCATGCTGCCTTCATTCCTCTGTTTAGAAGTCGGTGGTCTGCTAGAAAACTCGTGGGCAGGGGAGTAAAAAAACTTCAAAGAGGTGAGCCTTATCGCAAAGAGCAGTACCTCGATTCGAACGAGGACCTCAGGGTCAATTCCCATGCAGCCCTGAACTAAGAGAACCCAGTGTGCACATTACACCATACTGCTTCCCTCCCTCTGTTTTGTGGTTGGTTTAGTGCCCGCAAAATGATTGAGTTGGGAATAAAATTCTTCAATGACTGTGCCAGAGCAGCACCTCGAATCGAATGAAGGCCTTTTCTCGAACTTTTATAAGAAAGCCCTGGGTGCATGATACACTATACTGCTTTCTTTACCTTGTTTCGATGAGGCTGGGGCGCGAGAAATTGGCGAGCCCCTAAAAAATTGACATGTACAAGCTCATACCAGCACCTCGAATCGAACGAGGGCCTCGGGCTGTAAGTACTACTATCTACCTAAAAGAGCGCCGTGTGCACCACACACCACACTACTTTTCTTAATTCCTTTCACAGTTGGTGGAGTGCTAAGAATATCTCTTCTCGGGCGACGAGGTCTAAGCCACTTTGATGGAGCGAGGGTCGGCAGCACATGGCAATACGTCGGCGCATAGCCTCACAGCTCGCACGAACGTGGACGGAACGGGTCGAATGGAGACTGTCAGTATCCGCAGTCCAGTGGAAGTCAGCGCAGCTTACGGTTTTTGAAGGACCTCGGGGGTGAATCGGAGAACCGAGACGAATAAATGCAAAATATCTGCGAGGGAGTGAAGCGAGTTCGCCGCTGAGCTGGGTGCAGCCGAGGTGGCCGTCGGCAGATGTCGGCTTGCGGTAATCATGCATGACGCACCGGTGACCGCTTACATTTCTTTTGTTGCCACTCTTCTCCGTCCTGGGTCCCAACGCCCAAGACACCGCCGACACCGTCGACGACGACGACGAGCTCACTGCTACCGACGAGCACCATCTAATATCTAACGAGGACTTATGTTGCCTATAACGACCAAATCAAGACCATCTGCCCAGCTCTATCGTGCGTCCCTCTCCCTCTCCCTCTCCCTCTTTCCCCACTAATCGCTAGTTGACCACGTCCCGAAGTATACACCTTCCTCGCAACGCTCATCCTTCTTTTTGGCGTCTCCTCCGCCATCCAATCCTCCCCGCATCCTCTGCGCCCACTTCCGGTCCACCCTCCCTCCTCCCTATCCCTTACCTGTCCTTTCTGTCCGCACCTCAGCGACATCGCAATCACAGGCCATCCCGTGCCGGCCGTTCTTCCATTCCATTCCACGCACCCCTACCCCCGTGAATCACGTCCCTCGCCTTCCTTCCCTTTCTCCTCCTCCCCCTCCTTCTTGCCGCGTTCTTCCCCTTCTCAATGCTTCCCCGTCCCACTCCACGGCTTCTTATTGCGCGCTCGCCGCATCCTGCCAGCCATCCTATCTACGCTCCGTCCTCCTCCCCCTCCTGTGCCCGTTCCCCTTCATCCTCATTCGATACACACACCGTTGACATCGCCCTCTCTTCGTTCCCGCTACACGGTGACCCCATCCCTCCATCCTGCACACCTGCGCGATCTCCCGACCTACCACCTACCGATAGATACACCATTCATCCCAGCCCTCCCGCCTTCACCTCGTGCTCGTTACCACTCCCCACGTCTCCCTGTGCTATGTTATCCTCCACTCGTCCCATCCCCGCGCTGGCCTCTCCCGATCCGCCCCACCCATGTCTTACTCATATTCATCGAGATGCGGGTCGTCATCCCCACCTCCCCACCCCCAGCACATCCCTCGCGTCCGTCCCGTTCCGTTCCTTTCCTACCTACATACACTCTGTCTCCTTCCCTTTCCCTTTCTCATTCTACCCGCACCGCACGCCGCGCCTCCTTTGCCTTCCGTTTCCTCCCCGCTCCGGTTTCCGTTCTCATCTTCCCATCCCACCCCTTGCGCTCGATCGCTCGCATATTGTCGTGTTGCCGTGCGCCTCTTACTTCCTCCTCCTCGTTGTTGTGTCCACTCCCCTCTCTCTCTCTACCTCCGTTGCGCTCCTCCTCTCCTCTGTCCTCCCCTACCGCCTTTCCTCCTCCTCCGTCCATTACTGACGCCCCCTCCCCAGGCTCCCGCAGCGTCGTACACGCCGCCCTCGCCCTCGCACGCCCCGCCTCCCGCCCCGCCTTCCTTCCTTCCGCTTCCGCCTCGGCCTCCCCAGCACACCCGCCCGCCAGCGCAAACGCAGCAACCGCAAACGCAGCGGAAGCGCCGGGGCTGGACGGTGGGCTGGAGAAGCCGCACGTGCGCGTGGTGGTGCTCATCGCTATGCCCGTGCCGCCTGCTACTTCCTCCAATCCGCCCTCAGCGTCACATACACCGCCGACCTGGACGTCCCTCGGCGTGGGTGTGGACGCGGACGGCGAGCCGCAGCTCGAGGTGGGGGTCGTGCTGTCTGCCGAGGCGGGAGCGGATGAGGGGGCGGGCGGGGGTTCGAAGGCGTAGGCGTTTGCGTTCGAGGTGCGTACTGTCTAGCTGGTGGATGTCCTCTCGCTGACGCCGTTGCAGAAAGTAGGCTCCCGCCGTAGAACTCGCGCGCGCTCGTCCGTCGTCGACGCGGCCGTTCTCGCCCTTCCTCGCGGTGAAGGAGAGGCGCGCGGAGCGCCACTTTTTCCGTCCGTGGGACCAGCTCATCGTCGCGCGCCGCAGCTCTCGCGAGAACGCTGGTAGATGGGCTGCCTCACAGTGGCGGAGCGAGCATCAGTGCTTGCGGGCGATGCAGCGCGTGCGGGATCTCCGCGATCGGCAGGGGAATGTATCCCGACTGTTGGTCCCGCCTCTGGATGCGCCTGGGATCTGCGAGCTCATCCACGAGGGCGTGCTCTTCTCGGGCTGGATACCGAATCGGTCACGGAATCGCACGTCCTGTCGCTCGTGCATGATGGGGCGCGACTTGGTGTCGCATGGTCGGGATAACGCGCACGGCGGACGTGATTGCAGGATCGTGGCGATTTGGCAGCAAACATGTTCCGTGCGTTCTACTTCGCTATTTTCGGACGAACGCACTCCGCGTGCCGCACGCGCGGAGACAGCGGCGCATTCGCCGTTTGTTGCGCGTGCGCGGCTCGCGGGTCGGTGCAACAATTTCTGCGAGCTCGCTCAAGTTTAAAAGCGCTAGAGTAATCTATCAAGTTGTCGATGTCCCTGATCTGTACAGCTACGTATCCCTCCGTCTCTTTGGGGGCTTCTACGTACGTGCGCCGCAAGTCTGTGTTGATGGAACTCGCCAGCGCGTAGACTCAAGTCTTCGCTGCGTGTTTCCCCTTTCGTGCTGCGCATTCAGTTGAGCTATCTTGCGCGACCCGCATCAACAAAGACAGCAGTCGCTCCTCATTTCTAGTTCTACCAGGAAAGGAAATGAGGAGCGAAACCTGTGAAGGAAAACCGAGCACAGCCAAGTCGGACGGCCTCGTTACCCGGCCACTTAACCCGCTCTCCGAGCGGTCTGGGTATTGGACTTTTCAGGAAGTTTGGGAGTTGGCAATCCCGGCAAACACACCGCCATCAATACCGGCGGCACAGCCGGCACCCGTAGTCGGAGTTTGAAACCCTCATACTGCATTACAGTCCAGCACTCCGTCCTACCCCAGACTCAAGTACCTTGCAAAATGAATCCTCCGATACAAGATTATCTGCTCCAGACACCATTTTGACCCAACCAATTCCATCAGAGATCTGAGAGTATCTCAAGTAATTTGTTCCTTTGAACCGGATGTCCACCGGCCCAATAGTACTTATGCCAGCGGATTAATTTATGGGTTGTGCTCTTAATTTCCTTGGTATTACTATCAGGGGCTCCGGAAGTGCAGAGCCTGCAGGAAAAAAATAGAATGGACAAGATTTGATTAATAATTAACCATTCTGTACTTGATTTTGCTCTCCGGCAATAGTTCTGGGGATCAGATCCATATACAGTGATTTCGTTTAAATCCTGCCGCAACACCGCAGAAATCCAGCGAGGACTTCGAGGGTGTATTTATCCCTGTTTACCAACGCTGTGCCGCTAGGCCGGCCGCTTACCAATCACACCGCCGATCATACCGCCGGCCTCCCAAAACCCCGGTATTTCCATTTCCCAAACGCACTCGGACTTTTAATGTAAGTTCAACATAAACGACATCAGAAACATTATATCAGCCGTATTCGGGCAGGCCCATTTATATGGCTTGCAAGGTAAGAGTTACAGTCTTACCCAATGGATGCCCTGCCGAACGGACTCCCCGGGATATAGTACTGTATTTCCCTGTTTCTGAGCTGGGGAGGTCTTACAAAGTTGGTGAGCAAAGAGATAAAAGATGCTGAGATGAGTCAGAGCAACACCTCGATTCAAACGAGGACCTCGGGGATAAGCACCTGGCCTGAGCTAAGAGAACCCTGTGTGCATGATACACCATACTGATTTCCCTCTCCTGTTCGGATGTTGTTGGGGGTGCTAGTAAAAAAGAAATAAAGATACTAAATGCAATCACAGAGCAATACCTCAAATTGAATGAGAACCTTGTGTAAGTCTGGCACTTACCACAATTCTCAAACCCGGTCCAAATCTTAGTCATAATCAGTGATCCACTGATCTTAGTATTTAATCTTTCCCACATCATGTTTCTTCTTCATCTTGTCTTATGCTTACACTACGACAATCTAGGTTCTTACTATTTCTTTTATTTTGTATCCCTATCTTGTCTTCACTTACACTATGACAATCTAGATCCCTGTTTCTATCATTCCGTCTAAATTAGTGAGCACACATCGGCATCCTTTCACTTTTTTTTTTTTGACACCGAACACATTCCACCATCTGTCCGCCTTGACAGCCTCCACACTGTCTCGCCCAAACTGCCGTGCTCCATCGACTCCTACCCCTCTTTGTACCAGACATTGGACACAGAATCATCCAGTTGCCAGCTCATTGCCATCCCCATCACCGCGGGTACGATGATCACTATCACTGACATCACCGACATCTTCATCGCCTCCATCAGATTCTTCATCAGATTCTTCAGATTCTGACACCAGCACCATGCCACCCTGTCGATGTGTCCTCACTAGTTCAGATGGAATGACAGGAACAGTGATCTAGATTGTCGTAGTGTATGTGTAAGACAAGATAGAGATACAAAATAAAAGAAATATTAAGAACCTAGATTTTTGTAGTGTGATTGTAAGACAAGATGAAAAAGAAATCTGACAGGTGAAAGATTAAATACTAAGATCAGTGGATCACTGATTGTGACTAAGATTGGACCGGGTTTCGAGAATCATTGTAAGTGCCAGACTTACACCTTGGGGTGCATTACTAGCTTCTCCTAAGAGAGTCCTCGTGTGCACAATACATCATACTGCTTTCCTTGCCCTGTTTCGAGCTTGGTTGGGCGATAGAAAATTGGTGAGCTGAGGTATATAAATAAGGCAGCACCAGACTCAGAGCAGTACCTCAGATCAAACGAGGACCTCGGGGTTGAACTATTAGCTCCTCATAAGAGAAACCCCGGGTGCACAGTATATCATACTGGTTTAATTGCTCTCGTTAGCACTTGGTGGGTGCTAGATAAATTCTATGTGAGCTGACAATGGAATAAAACAAACTATCATTGACTAGAGCAGGCTGGCGATGTGCTAGATAATCTGTAAGTTGAGGAATAAAATAATGATACACTTGAAGAGCAGTACCTCGACTCAAATAAGGACCTCGGGATGAGCTTTCCCTTGTTAAAAGAGAACCCCTGTGTGCACGATACACTATACTGCTTTCCTTCCCATGTTTTGTGGTTGGTTGGGTGCTAGTAAAATTTGAGCCAAGGCTGAGGGGCTGAAAATGGTTGGTGGGCCACGAGACAAAAAAGATCTAATGTCAGTCACAAAAGAGCTGCACCCTGAATCAAACAAGGATTACAGGAACCCTGTGTGCATAATACACCATACTGCTTCCCCTGTCCAGTTTTACAGTTGATTTAATGCCAAAAAAAGGTGTGAGCAAGGGGCTAAAAATGGTTGGTGAGTAAAGGAATAAAAATCAGGTGGTGATGGATTGAGAGCAGTACCTCAAATTGAACGAGGAGCTCGGTGCTAATTTTTGAAAACCACCAATAAGGACACTGTGTACACGATACACCATACTGCTGTCCTTGCTCTGTTTAGCACTTGTTCAGGTGCTGGAAATTTTGTGAGCTAGGGAATGAAAAACACCGAAAAACAAGGGCAGCACCTTGATTCAAATGAGGACCTCGGGGAGTATTACACTACCCCCAATTAAGAGAGTTCCGTGTGCATGTTACACCATACTGATTTTCTTGTCCTATTTCACCCATGGTAGTATACTAGACAGTTCTCGAGTGATCCAAAAACAGGATCCTCCTTCACAGAGCAGTACCTCGATTTGAATGAGGACCTTGGGGATAATTTGTTTGTAGCACTTGAAGAAGACCGGTAAGAACACCGTGTGCACGATACACCATACTGCTTGCTTTACCTTGTTTTGAGGTTCGTGGGGTGCTAGGAAATCGGTGAGCTGGAGATTTAAAAAGAGAGGCAATAGAGGAAGAGCAGCACCTCGAATCAAACGAGGACCTCGGAGTGAATTCTTCCCTCTTTCAAGGCGTAAGAGAACTCCACGTGCACCATACACCATACTGCTTTTCCTGTCCCGTTTCACCCGTGGTAGTATACTAGACAGTTCTCCAGGGCATCCAAAAAAAAATCCTGATTGTCCTGCAACAGAGCAGTACCTTGATTCGAACGAGGACCTCGAGGCTAACAATTGTGAGCACTCTATAACAGAACCCTGTGTGCACAATACACTATACTGCTTTCCCTCTCCTGTTCAAATGTTGTTGGTGTGCTAGCAAAATTGTTAAGCTGTGGAATAAAAACCAACGATAATTCACTAGAGCAGCACCTCGATTTGAACGAGGACCTCGGGGATATTTGGTTCAGAGCTCTCACAAGACAACCTCGCGTGCACGATACACCATACTGCTTCCCCTCCTCTGTTGCCTGCATGGTGGTCTGCAGGAAAATTGGTGAGCTGGGGAATGAAAAAGGATCAGCCAAAGAGCTTTGGAGCAGACCAGAGTAGTAACCTGATTCGAACGGGGACCTCGGGGATAATGCCTGGTGCCAGTTAAGAGAGCCCAGTGTGCACACTACACTCTACTGCTTTTCCTGTCCTGTTTCACCCGTGGTAGTATACTAGACAATTCTCGAGGGCTCAAAGACACAATCCTTCATACACAAAGCAGTACCTCAATTCAAACGAGGACCTCGGGGATAATCATTGCAAGCACTGGAACAGAACCTTGTGTGCACTATACACCATACTGCTTTCATCTCTCTGTTTTGCCCTTGATTTAGTGTTAGAAAATTGTTGAGCTGAGGAATAAAAACATCAAGAACATCAAATCAGAGCAGTACCCCGAATTTAACGAGGACCTCGGTATTAATTTTCAAAGACCGGTAAGAACACCGTGTGCACGATACACCATACTGCTTGCTTTACCTTGTTTTGAGGTTGGTGGGGTGCTAGGAAATCAGTGAGCTGGAGATTTAAAAAAGAGAGGCAACAAAGCAAGAGCAGCACCTCGAATCAAACGAGGACCTCGGAGTGAATTCTTCCCTCTTCCAAGGCGTAAGAGAACCCCACGTGTACCATACACCATACTGCTTTTCCTGTCCTGTTTTACCCATGGTGGTATACTGGACAGTTCTCGAGGGCATCCGAAAAAGGATTCCGATTGACCTGCAACAGAGCAGTACCTTGATTCGAACGAGGACCTCGAGGCTAATGACTGTGGGAACTCTATAACAGAACCCTGTGTGCACAATACATCATACTGCTTTCCCTCTCCTGTTCAAATGTTGTTGATGTGCTAGCAAAATCGTTGAGCTGTGGAATAAAAACCAATGATGATTCACTAGAGCAGCACCTCGATTCGAACGAGGACCTCGGGGTGTAATACTGTCTCCATCTAAGAGAAACCTGTGTGCACGATACACCGTATCACTTTCTTTGTCCTCTTTTGGGTTTGGTGTGCCAACAGAACTCGTGAGCAAAGAAATAAAAATCATCAGCACTTGCTTAGGGCAGTACCCCGATTCGAACGGGGACCTCGGGGATAAGCATGTGGTTGAAGGTAAGAGACCCTCCGTGTGGACAATACACCATACTGCTTATATTCCCTTGTTCAGAGGTTGGTGAGGTGCTAGCAAAATGGGTGAGCTGAAAAACGAAAAACACATAACACCAAAATGCAAGGGCAGAGCAGCACCTCGAATCGAATGAGGACCTTGGGGTTTAGCTACTATCTGCGACTAAGAGAGCCCCGTGTGCACAATACGCCATGCTGGTTTCTTTATCCGGATTTATGGTTGGTAAGATGCTAGCAAAATTGGTGAGCTGGGGAATAAAACAAGAGAGGCAACAGAGGAAGAGCAGTACCTCGAAGCGAACGAGAACCTTGGGGTTAAGCTACTATCTGTGACTAAGAGAGCCCCGTGTGCACGATATAGCATACTGCTTTTCCTATCCCGTTTCACCCGTGGTAGTATGCTAGACAATTCTCCAGGGGTCAAAACACAATCCTCCATACACAGAGCAGAACCTCGATCGAACGAGGACCTCCGGGTTAATTTTGAATCAATTCCACGTAGGAGAACCCAGTGTGCACGATACACCATACTGCTTCCTTTATCCTATTTTGCACTTGGTTTCGTGCTAGAAAATTGGTGAGCCCAGGAATAAAAATCCTAATCAAACCAGAGGAGCACTTCGAATCGAACGAGGTCCTCGGGGATAACTTTGGATCGACTCGCTCTAAGAGAAAGCCCCATTTGCACGATACACCATCCCGCTTTTCTTCTTCTGTTTAGTCCTTGGTCTGGTCTGAGAAAATTGGTGAGCCAAGGAATAAAAATGTACTCACCGCAATCGCAGAGCAGCATCTCGTTTCGAACGAGGGCCTTATCTCGGACTTTCGTCAGAAAGCCCCGGTGCATGATACACCATACTGCTTTCTTTACCTTGTTTCGATGAGGTTGGGGTGCGAAAAATTGGTAAGCCCCCCCCCCAAAAAAAAAGAAATTGACATGTACAGGCTCATAGCAGCATCTCGAATCGAACGAGGACCTCGGGGCTAACCACTGCGAGAACTGCTCAGAGAACCCCCGTGAGAGCAGTACCTCGATTCGAACGAGGACATCAGGGCCAACCATTGCGGAACAGAACCTTGTGTGCACCATACACCATGCTGCTTTCCTTCTTCTGTTTAGCCCTTGGTTTAGTCTTAGAAAATTGATGAGCCAAGGAATAAAAATATGTACTCAATGCCATCACAGAGCAGCACCTCGATTCGAACGAGGACCTCGGGGTTAAGCATCACAGTTGCTACCCAACAGAACCCTGTGTGCACGATACACCATACTGCTTCCTTTATCCGATTTTGCACTAGGTTTTGTGCTAGAAAATTGATGAGCCCCGGAATAAAAATCTTGACAACATCAAACTAGAGCAGCACCTTGAATCAAACGAGGACCTCGGGGCTAACCATTGCGAGCGTTGTAACAGAACCCTGTGTGCGCAATAACCATACCACTTTCGTTCCTCTGTTTAGAAGTCGGTGGTCTGCTAGAAAACTGGTGAGCTGGGAAATGAAAAAACTTCAAAAAGGAGAGCCTCATCACAAAAAGCAGTACCTCGATTCGAACGAGGACCTTAGGGCCAATTCTCATGCAGCCCTGAACCAAGAGAACCCAGTGTGCAGTGTGCACAATACGCCATACTGCCTCCCTTTCCTATTTTGCACTTGTTTTAGTGCCGGCAAAATTATTGAGTCAGGGAATAAAATTCAACGAAGATGACCCAGAGCAGTACCTCGATCGAATCGAACAAGGGCCTTATCTCGGACTTTCATAAGAAAGCCCCGGGTTCATGATACACCATACTGTTTTCCTTACCCTGTTTTGATGAGGCTGGGGTGCGAGAAATTGGTGAGCAAGAGAAATTAAAAAATGAGGTGTTCAAGTACATAGCAGCACCCCGAATCGAACGAGGACCTCGAGACCAATACTGCAATGCTATGCAACCAGAACCCGCGTGCACCATACACCATGCCGCTGTTCTTGACTTCTTTCATATTTGGTGGAGGGTTAAGAAAATCCCTTCTCGGGCGACGAGGTTTAAGCCACTCTGACGGCGGGCGAGGGTCGGCATCACACGGCGGCAACACGGCGGCGCTCACAGCTCGCACGAGCGTGGACGGAACGGGTCGAATGGAGACTGTCCGCAGTAGAGTGGAAGGAGTCAGCGCAGCTTACGATTTTTGAACCGAGGTGAATCGGAGAACTTGGGCTGAGCTGGAGCAGTGATTGCTGAACCTTTAGGTTTGGCTACCCTGGGGAACTTGGGTTTCGATCCATTTTCCTAACATGCACAAATAGAAACTTGTCATACATAATTGGTCATCTCGAGAAATTGCAAAGAAAGTGGGGAATGAAAGACAAAAAATGAATAAGTAAGATGCCAATATATTTGGGCAGCCTTCTTTTTGTAAATGCCCGTGTGCCAGCCCGTTTCATTTATGGAACACAAAGATATTGGTGTTGGAATAATCCCAGCAAGGCTATGGGTTGGCAAGCACAAGGGAGAGAAACCAGCAAACAAAGAGGTAGGATACGTTTGTCCTACTTACATGTACATGGTGGTCGTACGTAGGCAAACAGATGACGTCCACAAAGACAAAGTGATAGAAATCATGGAAGGCTTACGTAAAGTGGTCCGTGCCATCCGGCGATGATCACGAGCTCCGTGCTGCTCGCAACCAATTCCAGTCCAGCCTGGAATATTTCCAACAATTGGCTAAGTTCAGTTGTTGGTCATTAGTCATTTCTGCTTTATGTCCGGGCTACTATCCGAGAACAGTCAGACAAGATTGGTTATCATACAAGTGAAAGGATATCTGACCAAAAAATGTTTGTGGAGTGTGCAAGGTTGGGGATTGTTTCAAAATGTCAGTCACCAAGTGTTTAACTCCCTCCCACACTCAACACAAAAAATATATTCCGAGTGGAATGGCAATTTCTTGGTGGTCATTTCTGCCTTCAAATCCTGGTTCATTTGTCATTTCTGATTTGTGTTTAGTCCAAAACGGTGAAAATCAAGCTACAGTGTTGTTTATGCGGCTCTGTGAACCCCTCCTTTCGCCTGTATAGCAACCATGGGAATTTGATATTAAGGCCATAAAATGCTCTCAATTCGTGGCCTCAAAGGCCGTCGGAACCTCATTTGATGTCTTAATGGCAAACACTGAAGTTACTCCTAAGCCCCTGGTTCTGACCCTTCCGGGTTGCTCCCATGCAATAGCACCAGCATCTTGCCAGTGTCATCTCTATACACAAAGTTCCCTTGACAGCCTCTTCACTTTCTGTGCTTGGCTTGCACTGGTTCCTATTTGACTGTCTGTACTCAAGTTCTGGCCCCCTTGGTCTTTGACGCCCCCCTTCTTCCACTATTTCGACCGCCAATATTTACGGCTGCAGGGCTGGATGATACTGGACGGCCTGTCCTTTTTTGTATTGCCATAATGCCATTACTATTACGCACTGTATTATTTTTTCTCAAAATAAGAAAAAGGCTTGCTGAAGAGAGAGGTTATAGTCATTCTATGGCTTGGTACCAGAGGGACAGGGAAAATTCTTGAGCCATGAAGACGTCGAATTTGTGGATCTGGACTTGGTCATGACATCTCAATCAGCATGCCGTGTGTTCTTATTCCGGTGTTTCAACGTCCTTTGACCTAGTGTTGCCGCGGCTCGGCTACGGCTGGCTCGGCTCGGCTTTTGATGGCTTCGAAGCCATCACATCAAAAGCCGAGCCGAGCCGTTTAAAAACCGGCTGGCTTGATCGGCTTCGGCTTAGCCGTGGCTCAAGCCGCGGCTTGAAACTGTTTTTCGTGAATCGCCTGTTCCGCCCTCCCAGTGCCATAATTCCTGACCAGAAGGCACTGAGACCGCATATAATGCATGTTGAACAGAAGAACCGCTTTATTTAATCAATCTTTCTCTTTGCAGAACATTGGGCGCCGTTGATCGTTTCGACCATCTCCGCCATTGCGGGCTCAATTCTTCATCGATGGCTTAGAAACATATATGAGCGGCATCGCACCACAGTTTCTGTCGCCCTGGCGGGCTCGGATCTTTTTTTCGTTCGACCTACAGAAACTGCAGGCACCATTATCGTCGTTTGACGCAAATGCCCGCCCACGCGGGGAAACACGAATCTACTGCCTCATGAGGGTACTTTGTGGTAAATTTCCTTTGTGGGCCTTTCGCCGTTTGAACGAGGTGGTTGACTCCGAAATTTGATGCTGGCTTAGCAAGCGTGCTCTCTGCCGCTCGGAGGCCACCATATCCGTTGTAGTAGGAGGTTTGGTTGTGCTTGGTAGTAGCCTCCATAGCTTAGTAAGCACGTCTTGTCTTGGCTAGCGACTGCCATCTGCTTGCGCGCTCCCCTGCTATATCGGAGTTGCACACTCCACCGTTGCCAGTGCCCATTGGGGTGTTTCTGAGAGATCCTACGACTCAGACTGTCCTTACGACTAATGCGGAACATATTTCAATTGACAATCAGTCAGACACATGCAGTATCTCGGTCATGCTTCTGTCCGCACCCCTTCGCCTTCGCGCCGACCCCAGATTATTCCGCACACACCCACCGCCCAGATTAAGGTGCAAGGCTCGCTCAAGACTAGCTGGGCCTGCGGGAGGCAGAAGCGAAGCTACACAAGTAAATGAGCAAACTAGTGAGGAAAGAAGCAGAAAGACGACCCACTTGCAATCCCACAGCTTCCTCAAACTCCTCCTAAAAAAGGCGCGTGGCTGACAAACGTCCGGACGACCTCGGCGAGTGTGGGCCTGCACGCGAGGAGCATCCTTTATCGTGTGCATCTCGAACTCCACGGGCGGCAGCGGGATGAACGTCGCGGGTCACAGCACGAGCGCTCGGGGTGCACGCGCCACTCCGCGATGCGCGGCGGATTCAGGCCTGTCGCGGACAGTGCAATCGCGCGCGTAGGAGATCGAAGCGGCTGAACTGCCGCGTGGGCGTCTGCACGACGGGCATCGGCGGCTGCGTGGCTGCGGGGAGGCCATGCGCGTGAGGGGTTGTGCGTGCCCAGACTCAGCCGCTTGAAAGTCTTGGTGTTCGCCGGTGAAGGTTTTATGGTTCTGCGCCGGGGCGACGTCAGACGTGGACAGAACTGGGGGCGGACAGTGTTGACGAGTAGGTGTGTGATGGATGTAAGCCCGGAGCCGACGGTGAAGACGCGCACCGAGCGCAGGGGGAGCGGGCGCCAAGGACAAGTGGGTACGACCTGCACTGGCGTATCCCACATGCACGCACCCGGTGATGGGTGTCTGCGATCTCGCGACAAGCCCCGAGCAGCGCAAGCGGATGCCCAAGGAAGAACAGCACGCAACCACCCCGCATGCACACCTGCGGCGATGGAGCGTCGAGAGCCGGATTGGGCGCGGCGGGTCTCGGTGAGTACCGCCCCCCGCACCGACACCACTGCTTGACGATATCCGATCCGCACCCGTCTCCAACGAGTGGGATGCCCGCGGAGACAGGAACATCTGAGGACCAGCACCATCCCGCAGCTGTGTAAGCACGCGCAGCAGCGGCGACGGAGCGCTTTCCTCCCATGCTAGTACCGAGAGCGCTACTTGCTCAGCGGCACCCGCGCCGAAAGACTCTCCAGAGGCGGCGAAAGGGGGGGGCACAGGCGATGCCCGAGTCACTGTTCGTGTCCGGGTCACTGAAGCACTCTTGGCGATGACAGAGTAACACGCACCTCGTACTACACATGTATGGACATGTGAGGTCTTTTTCCGTCTATCATCGTGCAGGCAGACCGAGTTCCCAAACACCATCCATCGTACCCCACTGCGCTCGATCCACCTCGCGCACCGCTGCAACGTTGCGCACTGTCAGGACTTGAACGGGTAAATATGGGACTCACCCAGGATGAACTTGGTCAAGGTTTCATTGGCGACGAGCTGAAAATACAGTCGGTGGTCGTCGCGCAGGGCCATCAGTCAGAAGATTACTACATCGAAAAGCAGCGACTTCACAGCCCTCTCTCAGTCGTCAGTCGGTCTTGATAAGCAGAATAGGACGTCAATAGGGTGTTCTGAGCTGGGCCGAGGTCTATGGACCTGTCGAAAGCCTTGGGAAGTCAAGGAGAGCAAGGAACGATGCAGTTACGTGTCTTGTCAAATTCGGTTGTGAGCCGTTTATAGCCGCGGCTAAGCCGTTGCTGGAGCCGGCTTAAGCTGTAGCCAAACCGCCGAAGCCGCCACGTGAACGGCTGGCTAGGCTCGGCTTATTTTTGGCTCGGCTCCAACGGCTAGCCGAGCCGAGCCGAGCCGCGGCAACACTACTTTGACCTGTTGTTTTAGGCAGTTTCTGCGGGTGCTCAGTTGAATTTCCGTCAGTACTGAACTAAGTTGACTCACACTCCCTTCTGTAAATTTATTCCTGCTTGTCTGTTTTCCTCGTGCAACGTGAACCGACTGGTTGTCTTTGCGGCTCTGGTGAGAAACAGTGGCTTCTGATAGTTTCGATTAAGGAGTATATCTGCAGAGCAAAGATTGCACCTCAGTTACACATCAACGTTCTGTGAATATGAATTCCATCACACTCAGGCTCACATCACTTTCTCTCACAGTTTGATCCGGCATACATCCCAAGCCATTCTTGGTCCCGATGGGGCGGCGAGTATTAGAAATCCCATCATCAAAGAACAATAACTGCAGAAGTTAGTGTATAGTGGTAGAAGTACCAGAAAATTAACACCCCCCATGTTTTATAATCGCAAACTAGCAGTTTGCCCGTGCTATGCCACGGAGCATTGAGAGAGAACCGTGGGAGCTTATATCTGGAGAGATAATCATGCCGCTCGTCACCAACCTTCGGTTGGTTCCTTGCGGCTCTATCGGCGAAGCATCTGCAGCCTTCAAATGTATTAAATTTCCCGGCTTGTGTATGTCTTCAATTTTTTTACCTCGCTTTTATCTCTGTACCTGCTCTCCAACTGTTACCTTTACAATCTCGTTGACA